GGGGAAACGGAAAGGTATAATCTGGAGAAATCTTTCAGTTAAGGAAGATACAACCACATTTTATGAAAAAAGTAAAAGAAGGTTAAAGCAGGATCGCCACTGGCTTCTATTCTGAGCCATATCTGATAACGTCTTTAGCCACTGTGTAACACCATCTCTAGGACCCCAAACAAGGAGTCATGAAGGACCAACACAAGCCAGTCCTTTACAACTTTCTTTCATACCACGACACCATGTCATACACTGACCACCTCTCTGCTTTTTCCAACCAGTCGGCAAATAATGCACGACGAGGAATTCTCTGGGACGACATTCGTAGAACATGTCCAAGCCACCGAAGTCAGTGTTTCAAGATGGTGACACCAATTGCATTATCGTCTCTGCGCCCGAACACACGATACCGAACCCCTGCATTACTAACATGGTGTTGCCATAGGATGTCAGCAACCCTTCAGAGACAACGATGATCAAACACAGTGAGTCGTCTAACATACTCAACTCGGAGAGGCCAGGTTTCACAAGCATAGAGCAAAACTGCTCTAACCGACGCGTTGTAGATCCCACCTTTTACAGCAAGACTGACATCACGAAGGCGCCAAAGGTGGCCCAGATTGGCATGAGCCGCTCTGGCTTTCACCATACGTGAATTGATCTCATCACTCACGCCACCACCAGCACTTATGCAGCTACCTAGATACACGAACACGATGGCAAAGTTGAAGAGGAACGGTGAGATTGGGCAACCCTGTCTAACCCCACTGCTCGAATAGAACAATGGAGAGAGGTGGTTGTATGCCCACACTCTGCCTGAGGTGTTTGCATATAGGGCTTTTAGGATGTTAATAAACTTCTCACACACACCCTTCTTCAATAGACAATCCCAGAGCACAGTCCTATCCAACGAATCGAAGGCAGCCCTGATGTCAAGAAACACTACGATTGTTGGCCTTTGATAAGTATGGCGGTGTTCTGACATTTGGCGGAGGGTGAAGATATGATCAATACATCCTCGACCAGAACGAAAACCAGACTACTCCTCGCGAGTCAATCTTTCTCGGGTTTTGAACAACCTACGAAGTATGACGGAAGCCAACAGCTTGGCCGCAGTCGGGAGTAGACTTATCCCCCAATAGTTGTTACAGGGACGACGTGAACCCTTTTTAAAGATAGGGACAACTATCGACTCATTCCATGACGTTGGTAAACCCTCTAGTTCCCAGGACCTTCTCGGTCCTTACACAAGCTTTTCTCAAGCTCATTACGTAACCCCCCTCGTTTGTGATCAAACTCACGGTCACGCGGAGTAGAACGATGGGTCTCGATGAGTTTCAAGGAGCCTGAAGAAACCCAGTGCTTATAAGCAGGACGTTTCGCGAAGGCGCAAGCGGCTTTACTGGCCATTTTCATGGCGTCATGAAATTGCAACCAACGCTCATCTATGCTTTTCGGTGGAATGGTAGCTAGCCTAGAAGCTAGCTCGGTTCGATACTTGCTTGCAACCGAAGATTGGCGCAGACCACGGCATGACTAGAGTTCAGATAGGTACTCCAAAAGGAGCGGCAGTCTTGTACACAACCACGCCAGCGGTAGCTGATCGCGATGTGATCAATCTGAGTCCAGGCTTGAGATGCAGACGGAGGACGTCAGGTGACACATCGGCGATGACTGTGCCCAAAGTTAGTGCTAGCCAGAAACAGGTTGTGGTCTGTGCACAGTTGCAGTAGACGGTCTCCGTTAGCTGTCCTGCGACCAACAAGTCCCCATCGGTCACTTAAAAGATTCTCTTCTGTGCCAAGACACCCGACCTGAGCATTCAGGTCTTCAGCTGGTACTACAATATCTGTCGGACGCACTTTCTGGAGAACAGTTAACTGGTGGTAGGATTCATCCTTGATTGCATTCGGGCTGCAATCTGTCGGGGCATAGGCGGAGATGACGAAAAGACATCGTTTCTCACGTTGATTTCTTCTCACTTTGGTGGAACTTTCTAATCTAACAGCACATAGCCGACTGTCGACGGGGATCCAATCGACTAGTGCTGCCTCAGCTCTAGCGCTTAGTGCGACACCAGACCAGACGAAGATGCCACAGGGTCCCCGGATAAACGCACGCAAAACAAGCTTTTTGAAGCGACAGATGGAGAGCGAATTTGTAGTACTTCACCAGAGTCTTGAATACGGGTCTCGGATAGACAGCAAACGTCGATATTAAGACTTTCCAAAGATGTAGCCAGCCCTATCTGTTGTCCGACCTGCATAAGTGTGCGAACGTTGAAGGCAGCCAGTTTGAATGGTGCACGTGGTTTCTGAAAAACTGCTTCAGTATTCGTATTTGATGGTAGCATACAATTTTCAACCAGGCAGTGACTCGAGAACGTTTAGACAGAACCGAGTTTCCACCATAGGCTAGCTGCTGTGTAAGTCGGGAAATAAGGATACACAAAGTGGGAATAAGAGTGAATAAATGACGTAGTAAATAATAATAATAATAATAATAATAATAATAATAATAATAATAATAATAATAATAATAATGTGGATTGTTTGACTGTTAATCGAAGCATGAATAGAATTTTCAGCAAATATCGTCATTTTCATTTTGTGTGTGGGCTGTGGTACTACCTGGGTGCCCAAACCGAAGCAGGTGGTTTTCTAAGGAGGCCACATCTCGAGCCTTTGACCTAAAGGTTTGATCCACAAGGCAGTGGAGCATCGTGAGGAAATGCAGTCCCATGGAAGCCGGTGACCAACGATTGGTTCATACGCCATTTGTTCCCGCAAGATACTGGAGCCCATGTGCACCATTGATTCGGAATCCGGTTAAAGCGCCGGACATTCGCTTTTCGTCCTCTCAATTTCGTAAACAACACCCCCGCCACGAAAAGGCAGTGAGTAGGACTTCCCTGGCAGAGGCTATATACGCGTGACCATGTGAGAGCATTTTGAGAGGAAGAGCGGACTCTCCCCACTCTCGGCCGTACCAGGGCATTTGGGGGCAAGATGGATAGTGTCTAGCAGTGTAATCCAGTACGCGCGCCTGGTCTTACTCAAGACTCGTCAACTGAACGCACCTGTACCTGTTGATGTTCACTGAAAATGCAATTCATGTACATATTTTTAGTTTATCGGAAACAGAAGCAACAGTGAAATTACTGTAAAAGCCTGAAACTTAAGTTACTGCATCAAGGTCTATTCATCAATACAGGTTTCAACGCCGTATTAGAAGAGAAGCTCCAATTAAACACCTAAAAAGAATTCACGAATTTAGAACGTGAACACCTGATAAGTCAAGTTGTCATAAATAAGCACTCATCAAATCACTACGAATATTAAGAATCTCACTGCATGAGTAAGATTTGTTCTGCCATGGAAATCTTTGCTCCATTCAGTGAGTCTCTGTGGTTACTATTTAAACGATCAATTTCGTAAACCTACACTCCATGAAAAATCCTCTTTCAACTAACTTGTAGGCAAGTATTTCACCCGGTCCTTATACGGGTCGACTAAAGTTCCGAGTAGTGAGCAGTGAATTCAAGTTTGGTTGCTAAATGGTAAGATGCTACTCAATAAACCCGGTCCTGGGTCCAACCCCGTGTAGGGTTGCGAATGAGCATACTTAGGTGGTCATATATTACAAATAATTTAATGAGTTCATTTTCCATTGGTTACAGTAATGGCAAAGACCATCCTTGAACTATATTACTTTGAAATCCAACTTTCGTGACCAGGACCTCTAAGTGCAAAGAATGAAGAATGGTATGCCCCGAAGTTACACACTTTCGAACGTTAATGTTCCGACAAAATTTATAAATCACTAAAATATACAGCAGCGAAGTCAAGATATCTTTGTGAAGGCATCTCAAATGATAATCCCACTGAGTGCCTTCAAGGTAAAGAACGTTTCTTACATCGAATTCTTCTATAAACAATATTAAATTGTTGTTAAACTTTTAAAACATATACATGTCTCACAATCCAAGTGAAGATAGTTCGAATGAATAAAAGAGCACCAGTTGCTGAGAAATCCCTACAGCAGTCGACTGACCTAATTCTGATATTCCCATCAAGAAAATACCACTAGACGTTAGCTAAGTGTCTGAAAAGTACTGCCCTTTATTCCTTTATAATTTGCATCAGCAAAATATCATTAAAAAATCTCTATAAACTTTGCCTTTTAGTGGTCTCCATGTTTTGCGATGTAATTAAATTAGTGAAAGCTATTCAGAAACTGGATGTGTAATAACTCACTAAATGTCCAATTCATGGCAAACAGAAAATTATCAAGTCTGAACGAGTAAATGTACCATTTAAATACGGTTTAAGACAGAATATACATAAAGTTCATGTTAATAAACATAATGGGGCCAGGACACTTAATGAAGTAAAGCGCCTATGGTTTCCACAATGTGTAACAAATCTAATATTGGACAAAATACACAACTTTCAGTATAACACGACTATGTATTGATAGAACTGAACACTTACCCACATACTAAGGAAAGTCAAATCGTATTTCAAAGAATTTTACTAACTTCGGGAATATTATTCATATAACTGATTCTCGAAATGACAAAATTGGCATATTCTACATCGTTTGTTTATCTTTAGGATAGCTAATTAACAAAACGGTAAGAACAATACCCTTAATCCGGAAAGGAATTATGGAAACAAGGCTGGAACATAATCTTGTGATCTATAAAACAATCTTTTATTGGATAGCAATAAATGCCTCTATTAAGATTAAAACGATGGAAAAATGGGAGATTAAAGAAAACATGTACAAAATCTCCTCATTCGGCTAAGAGAAGTATAAGGAATGCAAAACAAATGTTAGTGCAATAAAATAGAACTAAATTTCATATTTTCCAGTACAAATATCCCTGCCTCTAGTCTGTGATCTCTGATCAGAAACAGGTTGAAAGTATATTGTATCTTCTAATTCTAAACGCTCTTTAATTCGCTTCCCAATTCTTACGATAGTCTCTTCTTCATTGTCACTAGTCAGCCAAACTGAAAGCTTGCTACCCGAGCCCGTGGTTGGAACACTGCTCCACATATCTGTTTATCCTCTTCATCTGTATCCCAGTCGGAACCGATCAGAAGCATCAACAATTCATCCCATAAGCTGGAATGGAAGATATAAACATTCTATGCAAAAATTGTCAAAATTTAAACAAAAAGGTAATTTTCCCTGAAAACAAAACTCTGTAAAATGCACCAGCAATGGAAATTAACAACGCCATCTGAAAAATCTGGGATAGCAAAGCAACAGGACCAGAGAGCATACCGGCTGAGGTATTGAAGCCATACATCGCGCCGGTTTCAAAGATAACCCACGTTCTCTTCATATAGATTTGAGAGGGAAAAAAACAAGTGCTAAGACAGGCAAGAGGGATACCTCTTCAAGATACCGATGAAAGACGAGTGTGAAAACTAGAGAGGCATTACACTTGTTTATATCAGGCAGTTTTCAAGTGTTGCTGAACCTAATGAAAGACTCAGTAGACTTTTAACTCAGTGACAAACAAGTTGGCTTTCGTAAGAATTGATTGCGACACTGTGGATCATTTTGAAGAACTGTTTGAATGTAACTCATCACTATACGTCAACTCCCCCGATTATGAAAAAGCATTCGGTAGGTAGGATAAAAAAGCACTGGAATCTTTGTCAATAGTATGAAGTATCTGAGATTACCAACATACGAAACTCCCACAAGGGACTGAAGTGCAAGGTCGAACATGGTTGGCAGCTTGCAGTAAAGATCAGTGCCAGGTATGCGCAGCAACATATGCAGACGAAGACAACTAGAGGCTTTCGAAGAAAGACTTGAAAACTCAGAAGTAAAAAAGCAAGATCCTGAAATACAACACAGCTCCCGAAGAGGTGGAGAGTTTTACTTGCCTGGGCACCATCATCGATGAAGATGGATCTCACATAGATGTTAAAGCGAGGATTGGTAGCGCAAAAGTAGCATTTCTATAGGTCAATAACATCTGGAACTCGAAAAAGCTTTTGCCTAAGACTAAAGTCGGAATTTTTAGAACTAGCTTAAAATTTTCATTGTATGAAGCTGGAATCTGAAGAACCATCACCATCATCAGAAAACACAGGAATTTATTAACAGATGCCTACGCAAAACCTTTCTGCCAGAGACCAGCTGCAAAAACATACTGTGGTAGAAAACAAACTGGCTGTCACTTGAGGAGGGAATTAAGGACACATTTTGTGGAAACTATCAAACCACATCACAAGGCAAACCCTGACTTGGAATCCTCAAGGGAAAAGAAAAAGACCCAAACAAAAAGACATGTGACCTAGAGTTGGGTGCACATATTAAGACCACGAACACTTATCAACAATTGTAAAAGGTAGCCAAAGAAAGAAGTGCTTACAGATTCATAATTAGAGGACTTTACTCCTAGCAAACCTAACCTAGTATTTTGCCGACCCACAGAAAACAACCTCGACAAATATATAGGTTTTAACAACCATGGGACAATCCGAAGATTCGATAATTTGATAAGTTCAGTGACTTACAGATGTGTTCACAAGGTGTCTGCAGTCGCATTGCTCAATATGCACCTACCGACCCAAAATAATTTTTTTCGCACTTATTTCCGTGGAAAATATTGACCAGGTTTGTCTTAAAAAACTAAGGTTCCTGAAATGAACCGTACACGCAGTAACTGTCAGTGACTAGGAAATGATTACGTGAAAACTTAGCGCCAAACAGCGAAACTGACGACTAGGCAATATGCCATATTTCCGAGCATCGCCTGCGAAATTTTCGACTCGAAATGATGTACAATTATGATAGGTCCAACGCTGCTGGTTGATTAGGTAGGATGAGACTCGCTCTCTACAGAGACACAAGGCAGTGGAGCACCGTAAGGACATGCAGTCCCATGGTAGCCGGTGACCAACGATTGGTTCATACGCCATTTGCTCCTTCAGGATACTGGAGCCCATGTGCACCATTGGTTTGGAATCAGGGTTTCCCAACTCCCCTAGGTGGACTCTCAGTGTCCACCAACCTAGTTAAAACGCTGGACACTCGCTTTTCGTCCTTTCAAATTCGTGAACAACACCCCGGCACGAGAAGGCAATGAGTAGGACTTCCCTAGCAGAGGCTATATACGCGTGGCCATGTGAGAGCATTTCGAGAGGGAGAGCGGAATCACTTCACTCTCAGCCGTACCAGGGAATTCGGGGGCAAACCTTTAGGTCGAAGGTTCCGGGTGCGACCCACTAAGAAAACCACCTGCTTCGGTTTGGGCACCCGGACAGTATTACAGTCTTCGTACACATCAAATGAGATTTGTGTGGCGCATATATATTTGGTGCCTCCTTGTACCAATATCTGTGTTAAAATAAAACTACAGAGACAAGAATACAAGTTGTTAATCGCTAAGCAGAAATGTTGGCAATAACAAAAGATCTGGTTGAGAACAATGTAAGACGCAGTCAGAAAGGAGCAGATGTTTCTGACCTTAATCCTTAAAAAACTACCAATATCAGGTCACTTGCAAACTAATGTTTAGAATGAACTTGACAACAGTATTTGAACACAATCCGAAACATAAGCAGAATAGCGATATGATGCACATTACTGACTCAAAACAGGTAACCCCGTGAAGAAAAACAAATATTGTGACAGTAACTTTCTTTTTGGAAACAATGCAGTAATCACAATAAGGTGAAAACCAAACTCGAGGATACAGCGCTGGATGCCACATACGGTTAGTGAATTAAGTTCATACAAATGTGATTTACCCAGGTGGCAAGTATGGATTTATGTGCACAGCTATGAGTCACAACTCAGTTGTGTGAGGGCTAGTAAAACCAACCAGTTGCCCAAACTGAAGTAGAGAGTGCTTACTCAAGGTATGTAAGCACAAGTGACAGAAACAAATGCCCAGGACATTGCTCTGCATGGTTGATAACTTTGTTTTTGTTGACTATAAGCTAATGACTGGCATTTGCTTATATGGATTCTGCTGAAAAACTGAGGTCAATAAGGAAGGGGAAAAGTTTGTCGAGACTTGGGTGTATATTATTTATCTGGAATCACATACAAATTGGTAAGTCTATGTAGGAAACTGTCCTGTGTTCTACGCGTTACCTGGGAAGCACATCGACCTAGAATGTTAGTAGGGAAAACGTTAGATAACTGAAATAAACTATATTACTGCAATGAACCAATACCTAACATCGATAGAAACATGATCTTCATGTGCAGTATAACAAAACATCACGGGAAAAAATGGAAAAAAATAACCGAATTACACATTGACGTCTTGTCGTGGAGAAACATTGATTAGCCAACGTCCCCCATTTTCATTTTTCGGATCCTCCCATTTCGGCATAATTTCAGATTTGAACATATATAAATCGCTGCCATTAGTTATCTCTTTTGGTCTAATTGTATGAGTGAGTATACTCCAGAAGTGCTCAATAGTGCTGAAAGTTGCCACTTTTTCTAGACATGCATCCCACAGGAGTCCCTTTTTGAACTGGAACAAATAATAACACCACCTAAACAATCATCTAACTAAAATGCAATTTCTTATTACGAGTCTTGAAGTGGATGTAGACGTAATTCCTCCTCCTCCTTTTCCTTTTCTTCCTTTACACGTTGGCTACTCTCAACAGCCGTCATCCAAAACGTGTGTAAACTTCGCTTCAAAATTTACTTGTACTAACAACTCATGTGGTATTCAATAGTGGAATTGAACGGTCTACAATTTCAGGTGAGGCTTCATGAACAGGGGAAATTTTGTCTACTACAACAAGGTTGTATTGGACCAAATTATGATACTGATTAGTTGTTCGTTTGGTTTTAATCTATGTTTGTGTTCACCTTTCTCTTAACTTGATTAGACAGGTCTCCAACCAATCTACGGAGAGGCTTTTTCATCAGATTCTGTGACCAAGTAATCCTGAAAACTTCTGAACAGGAGCCAGCACTGTTGGAAAGATATAACAATTACTTGTATGGAGGTTGAAATTTCAGCAGCTTGGTGAATATTGCATTGACTTCAATTTCTTATCAGTTTAAAAAGGATAGGAGGCTGATCAGCCACTGTTAGTTCTTTTGATCTACCCGTCTTTCGAACGTATCATCAGATGGAACTTGAACCTCATGTTAACGTAAAAAGTTTTACTGCTTAATCATTCCATTGGAGAGTCAATAGTGAGCTGAAAAGTAATTGGTTCTGGGCTTGTTGATTTTCCTGAAGTACCCTCGTGAATCCTCTGTGTTGGAAGATTGGAAAAATGGAAAATTACCATTAAGTATTTTAAAAATTGTGATCAGGACACCTCTATTATCTTTATATGACAAGGGAAATAGGTTTAGCTTAACCAGTCTTTCATCATACATCACTCTGTGATTCCAGGAATCAACTTAGTTGATGTTCTTTCAATCTTTTATGACACTTGAGACAGAGGATAGTTGGTCATGTCGATTGCTGAAGTGTGAGATGAACGAACACTATATATAAGGCAACAATTATTTCGACATTTAAAAGGCAAAACATTAAGTCTTGGTTAAAGGGTTCTGAAAAAGCATTTAACGACAACCGCTTGGCCGTGCTTGAGTTTTAAACATTTACTGATAGCAACTCCGATATCAGTCTGTATCTTCATTACGTACTTCTGTCATGCCTCCTGTAGGAGCGTGTGTCGATCACCAGGTTTCTTCATCCAGCTTTGTCCCGGTCAACACTTTCAGTTCCAGTTGCTGTTCACTCTTTTGACGTCTGCTTACAATTCTCAGTGCAATGTGTTCTTCAGCCTCCCTCTTTTCCGTTTCCCTTAAGGATTCTAAGTTAGCGCATGCTTCGTGATGTAGGTAGATTGTTTTCAGCGCTTTTTCTTAGTTTGCTCCGCAGCTGGAACCTGGTTTTGTTCTCTCCCACAATAGGTTGGTGCCGATGATATCCGGTCAATGGGCATTGGGTATCCTGAGGAGACAACTGTTTATAAATACTTGTATATCTTCAACAATGGTTGTGTCTAGTAGTAGAGACAATAAATCAAATGACTTATTTTAACATCCAGAGTATTTTTCCGCCAATGTTCTGGATTCTCCCCAGAAACGTTTTTTTAGTATGGCTACTACAAGATGATTTGTATGAATATTTTAGAAGCAGACAGCCGTATGAAGACTCTCACTTCTGACTGAAGCTTACTTAGTTCCAATTTTCGAGCATTTTTGCCATCCTTTGGGAGGTTATTAGCCCCAGAAATGAAGAAACGATGAGCCATGTTACCACAGGAGTGGTCATTTAAGATAAAGGGTTATTGTATTGGGACAACTCTCAGTTCACAAAAAGATAGGGTACGATGGCAAATAAATCTCCTGAATAGGTCACTGCAAATTATTGACACTGACATTGATTACTCTAGTTTCACCGAACAAATAACAGGCTTAGGACGCCCGACCAAGCATCCACACCGAGCCATGTTTTTGGTACACTGGGCTGCGCACCTCCTAGAACAACAAAAATGCCTCGATTTAGTACACTAAGGTGAATTAACCTATAATTCAATGTACTTCTGCATCTCATCATCTTTGACTTTCCATCTTGCTAGCTTTGGGATCATCACATAAGAGATCTTGAAAATATGATTGTCGAATTTCGTTTATCCGTCACGCACTATACTGCTGAGGTGCGACATGATCAAAAATACCAGAAGATATGTAGAATTATGGTCTACTATGATATTAGTACTGCTCTAATAATAGACCTAATCCTAAATTTGTAGATTTGTCATGATATAACTGCCTAATCTATAAGATCTTACGTGGAAGTCACACCATCGACTACACCAACTCACTGTATCGTATCAATTACCAATACATGATGTAGAACAAGGTTAGGCTAGAGAAAGAACAATATATTTAATATGAATAGAAGATATAAAGTAACATTGAGATGGACCACGCCTGCATGGCCGAGCCATGCCATACGATCAACTCCAGTCCATTCAATTCATTGTTCGCGCCTTCTCCATCGTTAGGTATTTCTCCGCGTTAAATATTGAATATCTATTTCCTGAGTAGTCTCGTGTTCACAGCTTTGTGGATTGTGTGGCTATTGTCCAATGCCACTACACTACTCTCCCACCAGAATCAACGTGATGTTGGTTCGATACCAAATTGGATGGGATCGTCGCGCGCCGGAGGTTACCAAGGATAATAAGAATCCTCCGGGTATTGGTAAGCTGAAAGATAAATCAAAAAGAAGGCAGCAGCATCTGGTCGGGAAATACATGTAATAATCTTAAAATATCTGCCTTCATGATTAACACGCTTAAAATGAAAATTTGGTTGAAGATTATTTGAACTATAAAAAATGGGGTTACAATAATAATAATAAAACGATGCGTGTTAATAACTTAACGTATAGGCAGTAAGTATATTGTGTTTAGAAATATTAAAGTAATGAATATTGTAGAAATGTTAATATTGGTATTAGTTTTGGTTAAAATTATGAAATCAAATAACGATTATGCCGGTAAGTTGTCCATATGAGTTGAATTCCAATTGCATCTGTATTAGTAGGCTAACTGAAGGAACAGAAGTATACCGTGGAGAAGAATTCCAACTAGTGTTCCAGTTAGTTTGATACGGTTTATTTAGTTACGGGGAGATTTCCTCAACCTCATTTTTACTTGACCGTGATAGAATTTAGTAATACTACTAATACACATGAATGGTTATCAAAACAAAATTTAAATACATGAGTGATAATTATATGAATTTTGGACAGATAGCTAGGAACAAATCGTTAAACATGAGTGTATTCGTAAGAGACATGCTCTAGACTCAATGTTCTGATCTGCGATAGACTATTTATACATATTTATACCTGACCGCTGATGATGCATACAAGTTAGTTGCAAGTATGCAGTTTATCATAAGGCGGAATACGATTTAATTGAGATATGGTGATTATAAGTTATTGAAATCAGTGAAGCTTATGTGTCACATTACTAGTTGATGTGGTGCTGCAAGATGTATTCGGCTAAATAAGTTTGTACAAGATAATTAACAGTGAGTGATGCTCATGTGATTATCAGGGAGTACATAAGTTGTAACCAAGGGGAGTACACTCCCAACTCATGTCTATGATAATGGCTTGAACCTTAGTCAGTGTTGGGGTAAATTCGACATTGATGTTTTCAGTTTACAGGAGATTTGCTCGACTGCTTATACTGATTATTTGCATGCATGATTGTGTCGCTAAACCATCAATTAGACTGAAAAGGTTTTGAGATATTTACTGAGTGAGCGTCTGGTAGAGAAAAATACTGTAATCATCTGTAGTGAATGAAGATAAAAGAAAAACAACACTAGTGATAGTTATAAGTCAATTCGCTGACCGATTTTGTTAATAGTTTCATTAATTTTATCAATCATATTACGTGATTGTCAAGTCATGACAATGCTTTATGACGATATCCTGAAACTATTATGTTTAACTAGTTATAGTGTTGAATGAGGATTAGTCAGTGGAAAAATAGGTATTGTTGCTTGAGGTGATTCGAAATTATCAGAAATTTATAACGTTAAAGAATCCGAGACGCCTAATTTAATTATAAATTTTAATTCAGAAATATTCGTTTAGTTTTAATTCTAGTAGGCTACGGAGTTTTGATTCTAAACGTTTGCTTAACCAACAGCTACCTGAGGATTTAGTTATTTTGCTAGTGCAGTTGATAGTACCTAAATTTTTAATCTTATTATCTAAACTGTTCGCATTTTAGGCTAATCCATAAACCCAAATACGATTAGCAACAACGACTATGATGGGTTTATCGATAAATGTTAAAGGTGATTCAAATGATTTCTAAATTTAGAAGACATGAAGATATAGTGCAACGCATGTATGGGCCAGGTTAACATGCAGGTTGTTGACGTATATGACAATTTGAAAATAATGAACATGATCAGAAAGATAATTTTAAAGTTAAGACTGCTTATGAAACTTCAGGCAAGAATATGACGCGTTATAAACATTCCGTAAGAAGTTAATGCATTTAGCCTAGGGACACTTACAAATATATGGCAAAAGCAACTAGAAAACATATACATGTTAAGTACAAAAAGTCATTAAGTAAAATAGTTGAACTCGCCTGGGTTATTTTTGAAAATTAGATTACTCAGTGGACGACATATATAACGCCATTCGTGAGTAGTAATGATCCAAAAGCATCCAGAATAAAACATGCAGTATGGCAATCACTTCCAGGGTGCTTGATGCTGTCGAGGTTTTTGGGACTCACTCTGATCAGAACAACTGAATGAATCCAGATAATTGTGTGTGCCATTGAATCAGCCATCTAAAATGAACTCATGATTGCAGAAAACTTATAGCTGGAACTCACCGAATTTTTTTGGAGAAGTGTCACCCTTGTTGTTTGGCAATGGAACTCGAGAATATGAAATTAGGCAGGCAGTGGTCGGAAGAAAAGATATTACAGGATAGTGCATAGTTTAAAACAGGACGAGGTGTTAAGCGAAGGAATTAGATCCAGATAACTATTCAATCCTTGATTGCATTGTTAGTCAATGTATATTTACGCTACTAACAGGTCATATTTGCTAGAGCTTGATGCTTAAACAAGCCTATGTCGCTGAAGCATGTAAAC